GCCAAGCAGCTGCAGAGGAGCAGGAAAGCTGACATTTCGGGTCTAGATCCTTTTCCGCCGCCTCCGCCTCTGTGCTTATCCCTGAGGAAGGGTCCAGATCCAAAACGTCAGCTTTCCTGCTCCTCTGATGCTGCTTGGCCTGCTGTGTTCATCCAGCTCTACACCTTATTAACATTGAAGAACAAGTGTCATTTTCTTTCGCCAAAAGAAATATTCAATTCTAATTTTTTAAAAAATAACAACTGTTCCAAGAACATCCAGATACCACAACTAAGATATTCAATCATTGATATATCAAGTTAGATCATAAAGCTTTCGAATAGCACAAAAAGTTCTCATTTTACTTTTTATTTCCTCTCGTCCCACAGGAGAGAAACATCATCCACTGAGAGGGTAAATGACAAGGTGGCTATTTATTTTTTAAAACAGGATTTTATGTGATTCCCTGTTGATCATTAAGCTGCATGTGATTTAAATATTTACTAGAAAACAACCTTTAATATAGCAGTACCAAACCAAAAAGTGTGCCATTTGTATTATGCAGAAAGAATAAAATTGCTTTCATGTAAATATCACAAAAGGTAGACAGGGTAGTGAAGAAGGCATTTGGTATATTTGCCTTTAATGGACAGTGTACTAAGTATAGGAGTTGGGACATCATGTTGGGGCTGTGCAGGACATTGGTGAAGCCACTTTTGGAATACTGCATACAATTCTGGTCGCCGTTTTATAGGAAGGATGTTGTCAAATTTGAGAGGGTGCAGAAATGATTTACAAGGGTGTTGCTGGGACTGGAGGGTTTGAGCAATAGAGAAACACTGAATAGGGTGGGGATTTTTACCCTGAAGCGTCAGAGGCTGAGGGGTAAACTTATAGAGGTTTATAAAATCATGGATAGGTTGAATAGCCAAGGTCTTTTCCTTACAGAGTGTGTGTGTGGCAGAGTCCAAAACTGTAGAGGACGTTTTAAAATTTAAAAGGAACTGATAGGTAACTTTTTCACACAGAGGGTGGTGCATGTCTGGAATGATCTGCTAGATGAATTAGTGGAGATGAGGACAATTACAACATTTAAAAGGCATCTGGATGGGTGTATGAACAGGAAGGGTTTAGAAGGATATGGGCCAAATGGGACTAGGTCAGATTGGGATGTCTGGTTGGCGCGGATGAGTTGGACAGAAGGGCCTGTTTCTGTGCTTATGACTTTATAACAGCAGTAGTGAAAATAGCATGTCTGAGTCTGGGCCTACTATGGCACGTAATGCATCTCTGGATCCTCCAAAGCCTTTCCACATTCACACGTCATAAGTTAGGAGAAGGTAGAATAATTCTGACTCTCAAGAAACACTCAAGAAGCTCAACATCATTTAGAGCAAAACAGCCCACTGAACTTGCTCCCTCCACAGTGCCTCATCTTGACTGCAGTGTGTACCAATTATACTGTGCACTATGGCAACTCACAATCTTCTTTAAAAGCACCATTTAACTTCATGTCCACTATGCAGAAGGACAAGGAAGCAGGTGCATGAAAACACACCCATCTACTAGTTCCCCTTCTAGTCACACACCTTCCTGACCCTTCATCATTGTTGGGTCAAGCTATCTATACAAAGCACCTATGGGTGTACCTGTGCCACAAAGACTCTTGTGGTTCAAAACGGTGGGTTACTGCCATCTTCTCAAGGACAAGTAAGGGTGGCCAGTTTAGACTAAAATAAAGAGAAATTTCTTCATTCAGGAATATGAATCTTGAAAATTTTCTACTTTGCAGTCATTAGGTATATCCAAGACTTTGACTGACACATTTTCAAACTTCTAAGAGAATCAAGGCACATGGGAATCATGGAGAAATGTGTTATGGCATTAAGAATCAGCTATTATATTACTAAAAGGTGGAGTAGGCTCAATGGGTTATATGACCTGTCTGTGCACCTTTGTTACTGTGATTAAGCAAACTACTGCTACAGTGGTTGGAAGAATTTCATAGTAAAAATAATTGCGCAAGGTCATGTTAGAGGATACAAACAGTAAAGTCACCACAGTCCCTGAGGACCAGAGTTGCTCTCTCATTAGAGAGACATAAATGGTGGGGAGTTTACACCTAAGGGTCACAACGTCTTAGCAAAGGGCGAGGGTGAGAAGGCGGAGCTTTCATGGTAACCTCAGCCAATGCAAGGAGTGAAACATGCTGTTGGCATCTCTCTGCATCGCAAACCAGCTGTCCAGCCAACTGAACTATTAAGCCCCATAAAAACAGTGTAGGTTTCATCTCAGCTCCTCCAGAGGTCCCCAGCATCATAGTTGCCAGTCTTCAGAGAATTCACTTCACTTCACATGATATAAAGAAATGGCTGGAGGCATTAGATTTTGCAAAAGCTACAGTTCCTAAAAGCATTTGACAATAGTGCTGAAGATATGTGCTCCAGAACATTCATGCTCCTAGCTGACCTGTTCCAGTACAGCTACAACATGCGTTTATCTGACAGCGTGGAAAATTTCACAGATACGTCCTGTACACAAAAGGCAAGACAAATCCAACTCAGCCAACTCAGTTTCTTCCCCACTGTTATCAGACTTATGAGCAGACCTCTCACATATTAGAGCTGATCTTTCTCTTGTACCTTCCCTATAGCCATAACACTATTTTCTGCATTCTGTTCTATTACCCTGATGCACTTAAGGAAGGTAAGATTTGTCTGGTTAGCACACAAAACAATACTTTTCACTGCATCTCGTTACTTGTGACAATAATCAATCAAATCAATTGCCGGCCCTCTTGACCATCAGTAAAGTGATGGATGGTGTCATCAACTGTGGTATTAGGCAGCACATGCTTAGAAATAACATTCTCATTGATGCTCAGTTTGGATCCTACCAGGGATACTCAGCTCCTGGCCTAATTTCACCAGGTTTTAACCAAGGCTGTAAAAAAATCAAATTACAGAGGTGAGAGAAAGTGACTGCTTTCGTCATCAGGGCTGCATTTGGTCGAGTGTGGCATTAAAAAGGCCTAGAAAAACTGGTGTCAATGGGAATAAGAGGGAAAACTCTGCTGGTTACAGTCATACCTGGCACAAAGGAAGATAGTTGTGGTCATTAGAGGTCAGATATCTCAGCACCAGAATTTCTCTGCAGGTGGTGTTCGGGATAGAGTCCTAGGCCCAAACATCTTCAGCTGCTTCATCAATGACCTTTCCTCCATCACAATGTTACAACTGGAGATGGTCACTGATGAGTGCACAATGTTCAGCAACATCCATAACTCCTCAGGTACTGAAGCGGTCCATGTCCAAATGCAACAAAACCTGGCATTTGGATTGGGCTACTAAGTAGCAAATAACATCTGTGCCACACAAGTGTGAGTCAATGAACAGCTCCAATAGAAATTCTAACCATCCCCTCTTGCCATTCAATGGCATTACCATCACTGAATATGCCACTATCAATAGCCTGGGTGTTACCATTGACCAGAAACAGAACTGGACTGACCATATGAATACTGTGTCTACAACAGCAGTGAGATGCTAGGAATACAACAGCAAATAATTCACTTTCTGATTCCCCAAAGTATGTCCACCATCTACAAGGCTTAAGTCAAAAGCATGATGGAACACTCCCCACTTGCCTAGATGAATGCAGCTCCATCGTCACTCGAGAAACTTGACACCATTCAGGTCAAAGCCACCCATTTGATTAGCACCACATCCACAAATACACACTCCCTCCACCACCTAAACTCATGCTGCTGATGCTGTACCATCTATAACATGCAATGCAGAAATTAAGCAAGGCTCCTTAGACAGCACTTTCCAAACCCATGACCACTACCATCCAGGCAAGGGCAGCAGATACATGGGAACACCACTACCTGCAAGTTTCCTGACCAAGGTGCTCATCGTCCTGATTTGGAAATATATCACAGCTCCTTCAATGTTGCTGTGTCAAAATCCGGGAACTCTCTCCCTAATGGCATTGTGGACAGCAAATACGTTGCAACTCATGTGAAAGGAGCTCATGAACATCTTCTCAAGGGCAACAAGAGGTGTGCAATAAATGGCCCAATCAGTGAATCCCCCATCACATAAATGAATAATTTTTTTAAGAATCAGTGAAATAATGAGAGAAACTCTCAACATACAGGTGTGACTGATATAACTGAACAAAAAAAATTCCATCCTTCCCAACTCTATTTTTACCATCTTATATTTAAACACAGCCCTTGAAACAGAAAAGCTGCTGAAGGACAAATCGATTGGCAATTATGTCTGAAAGTGATGAATTCTGTTTGCATCGAAGTAGGGGATTTATAATGCCATGAATTTGATCAGATAATCACATTGATGAAATCTACAAATAAAGTTAGAAAACAGGCTAATTTTATATAAAGAAGCTTTTTATATTTGATCACTGCATTACATTCAAATGTAGTTAAATGAATGGATGTAGAGTAATAATGTAATCCATTACTTTACAAACATGCACTTTCGATTTAAGTTGCACTCATAATCACCTTGACAAACCAGTCTCAGTCTTGCATTCTGCTCTACTTGAATTTAAAAATATTTAGTATTTTTGATCCAGAAATATTTTACTCGAATATGTGAAACTAACAATAAAAAGGAGAAGCTTTAAAGGTTGAAAGTACATTACTTAACAATCTCAACATCTCAGAAATTTGATATAAAATTGAAATCATTTTGATAAAACCATTGTAGATAAATTTTGATAAACTTCATCTTTCGTAGTCTCAATGAATGTGACTTTGAATTTTGAACTTTTGCATTTTGCACCATACATAATAAAACAGGCCATTATGATATTAATTAAGATAAAATATGCATATAGTTGATACCATGTAAACATGCAATATGCATTTGTTCAATGTGACATTTATGGAGTGCTGAAGTATGATCAGAAATCCAAGAAAGAAACTGACAGGAAAATTAAATGACTTGATCCAAATCTATTATTCAATATAATAGTTCTCTTCTTTGCTCCAGTAGATGAAGTAACTCACCGAAGTTCATGTGTGAGCTCCTCAATAATGTTTTTTTTCTCCTCCATGCTATTCTGAGCTGTTTGAAGGACATCGCGTAGCTCTTTCAGCTGATTTAAAGTGTCATGTAATTCATTGTGTGCATTCTTCAACTGCGCTTCCATCTTCTGAGTTTCCAGCAAAGCATTCCTTCGTTCTGTCTCAATCTTGTGCAAATTTTCTTCCAGATCAAGCACTACCGAGGAATTAATTTTTCAAATTTGAATATATATTTACATAATGGAAAAAAATTACAAAGTTCTGTTTAGTTATTCACTTGTTGACAAATTCCATTGCACTTCAATGATATATGAACTAGTTAAGACATATTTAATAATATGCTAAAATACTTCACGGTGGAAATCTAATTTTCTTTCAAATATGTTGAAATTAGTAACACTACACTTAAAATTAAGTTCAGGTGATGCAAGAGAAAATAAGAAACAAGTTAGAATTATGCAAGGCATCCTACAAGAAACTTTGTATTTTTTTGAAATGGTCTTAAATAATGTTATAGTTATTTTTGTTGATTATTTAATTAGTGCTACACTAACGAACTAGTACATATATGTATACACACACACATATATATAATAAAATACACACACACACACACACACACACACACACACACACACACACACACACACACACACACACACACACACACG